GCAGGCGCAGGACTTTGTGGACCTTGAAGTGCAGATTTCGTGGCAGGTGTAGTACTTTGTGGATGTTGAACTGCAGATAGACAGATAGAAAGATAAATGGATCGATCGATAGATAGATAGATAGAGAGAGATAGAGAGATGGAGAGAAAGAGATAGAGAGATAGATAGATAGCTAGATATTTGCTTGGTTAGAAAATTTTGCACCGTGGGGTTCACCTTAAAATATTGATTTCGTGGCAGGCGCGGGTGTCGGGGATGAAGTGCAGATTTCGTGGCGTGGGGGGGTTGGGGGGTGCGCAGCGCCCCACCCAGCAGGTGAGCAGCTCGCGCTTGCTTGCTTGCTTGCTTGCTTGCTTGCTTGCTTGGTTTCGTCTCTGCAAGGCGAACAAAAGGAAAAGCAAAAGCAAAAAAGAGAAAGGAGAACAGCTGCGAAAAAGAAAGAAAGAAAGAAAGAAAGACGAACGAAGGACCAGAGGACCAAGGGACTAGCGGACCAGTGGACCAGCGGACTGCAGGGGACCAGCGGACCAGGACCAGCGGACCAGCAGACCACCGGACCCGAGGACCGGCCACTTACACGACTGGGAATTCCAAAAAATTTCATCGCACAACGAATATTTGTTTATTGATTCAGTAAATATTTATTTTTGATTCGGTAAATGATTCAATATATTTTTTGACGCCTATGCCCAGCAGCAGCAGCAGAAATGTGTCCAATAGTCATACTGGTAGAAAGTTGACACATATCGAGCGCGCCACATGGCGCTTGTGATCCCAGCTACCAGTAGCTGGCCCAGAACATCTACTAGTTGATGCGCAAACCATCTCTCCCAACTTGCCTCTAGTCGGCACAGCCGTCTGCCTGTTCTATGCAATGGCTGCGGAGAAGAGAACCAGAATGGTTTCCTTGCTGATTCATTCATCAATCCATTAACATCACCCCCTGCGGCGTAGCGGGCCCTTTTACATCTGAAGCCTTAAGAACTGCCTTCGCACATCGCCCACCAGTTCAAATGAATGTCTTTGGCCTTGCGCAGAAATTCCAGCCCTCGCCATGACGTGATAACTCTCAAGAAAAGTAACCATCCTCCTGCCTTTCTTTAACCCATTTCTGGATACCCTCATTCTTCTCCACATTAGCAACAATCTCCTGCAGTGGAATTTGTGGCACCTCTCCGCTATCCGTCAGCTCTGCCCAAGCCTGCAGCTTGGGGCAAGAGGCAAAGGCTTTGGACACATCAGCATCATAGGTGTCCTGCAAATGACGAAACACGTTGACTTTGCAAAACAACAAACAGAGCAAACAGCTTATCAACTTGAACTCTCAATTCCAACATCAAATCAAATACAACCAGTCAGGTTTTTTAGAGTCACCTCGGACAAGTGTTAGTTAGTTCTGTAGTGTGTGCATGTCCTTCAGAAGCTTGAAAATGGCAACATCAGCCAATGAGACCTGAAAACTGAAAACATCCCTTTTGCAGGAACCTGAAGTCAATACAAAGCTGTGTCGGCTTTGCCTTTGAATGCGAACAAGTGCATTCCCCAAACTGTGTGGTCATACTATGTCATTCTAGGGGTTCTTATTCTTACCGCAGTTTTTTCAAGCTAAGCTTTATCGAGCGTGCTCACATCCGTCAGCGGCTCTTTCACTGCCAGCTACAGCGCATTCATGCCTCTCGAGATGTTCAAAGGGCGCGTCGACTGCGCCGGCTCGCACAAACTGGTGGGCTCTCATTGCGTCGCCTTGCGCATTTTCCGACTTGGTGGTCACATTTCGTGGTAGGCGCAGCTCTGTGGACTTGGTGGTGGTCTTTGGCGCCCTCTGATTTCGTGGTAGAACTGTGGACATGTGGTTTGATTTCAGAATTTGGGAAAAGTATTGGGTGAAAACATTGTTTTTGTATTTTGAACGTGTCTTTTGGAATTGAAAGCTTTTGTTGGGAAACGCACTGCCAGGGCTGATGTGAATCTTGATATGCAGATTTCGTGGCACCCGCAGCACTTTCTGAACCTCAAACCGCAATTTTTATTGCAGGCCTAGCGCTGTGTGGACCACCAAGTGCCGAGCGCACCACTTTCATGTGTATGTGTGTGTGCTAGTGTGTGTGTGTGTGTGCTGCACATGATTGCACATGATTGCTAGTGTGTGAGTGCTCTCTCATGCCACATGAGTGCCCTCATGTGTTTGCTCACATATTGTGCTCTCATGTGTGTACTCTGATGTGTGCGAGTGCTCTGGAGTGCGGAAGTTCGTATATTCAGACTTCTCTTGTTCTGCTTGGTTAACACTGTTTGGATTTCCTCAGGGGAAGCACACGTTCAGTCAGTACATCTTTAATCTTTCTGCTGGCTGGCTTGGCTTCGGACCTTTTTGCCAACAGCAAAACCATCACTCCCAGGCAAGGCTTTGTCCAACTTGGCCAAAAACGTGGGCAGCTCCTCCAGTTGGTAAAACTGCTGCAACCTGTTGACATATGTTGACAAAGGTGGCCTTCAATAAGTTCAAACAGTAATGGTGCTTTAAAAAAAAACATTGAGTCTTGAAATTGTTCGGCAAAAATTGCTGTCGAAGTCCTCTTCATACCATGTCTTCTTGATTTCCTTGCTCGCAAGACAGGGGCAGGCAACAAACACAAACCAACTGCTGACAGCACCACAGCACAGGCCATGGCCATGTACGGTGGATTAATTCAAAGTGCAGGAAAAAGTTCCAAAAACGAAAGTTCGGTGTGGTTGGTCGTGCGCGGCGAGTCATCGCGTCACGGCATACCAAGACAGTGCATTCAAACTGCATCGGTATACCTTCCAGTGAAAGCATGACATCACAACAAAACACTGCAACACATCACAACAGCAATACCAGTGCAACATCTCATCAGATCGCATCACACCAACAAGCTCAGTGAAAGCAACAAATCGCGACGCTGTGTCACAACACATTGAGACATCACACTCTTCAACATCACAAAAACGCATTGGGTTCATTGAACACTAGCACATACTGAATCATTGCAAATCACATCACAACATCAAACACAAACAAAATGGGTTCAGACTGCATCATTCGGCTTGGACTTCCTTTTTCAAACAAAATGTGTTATGTGTTCTTGACAATTTTGCCCACCAGCCCTCACGAGATCTACCTGGTATGCAAGGTGGGTGGACATTGCACTTGCCAATGTGGCGAGGCTGACTGCAGAAGCGGACAAATGTGACAAAATGTAATGTTCTTTCAAAACCAATAACTGAAGACTTGCACTGCATAAAGCACAATTCTCACCGCACTCTCTGATCCACATCAATCAAGCCACTCCAACTGTAGCAACACCATCAAGCAAAACATGTATTAGCCGCAAAGCAAACTGTTCTCATAGCCACAGCAGGCACAGCAGGCATGGAATAAGGGAATCTGTTTGAGACATGTCACTGCCGGGTGTTGAGCCAAGTCGCAGCCTTTTTATCCTCATCCTTCATGAAAAACAACCCCTTCCTGTTGTAGGCCTTGACCCACGATGCATGAAAATTCCTGGCATGAAAATCATCGAACATGCCTCGTTGATGTCTCGAACATGTTCAGCCATCGCGTCGACCAAGGCCTTCAAATGCATTTGTTGTTTCACTGGTCAAATGAAGAAAGCTGTATAAAACATGAACTGTGTGCGACCATTGAACTCAATGGCCATTCCATAGCATGTCCAGCAAGCAATGTAATTATATAAGTACCTGGGAAAGGAGAGGACGAAAGCTGGCCTATTTTTGTTGTTAAAGGGTCAAGTCGAAGCTGCACTTACTTCTACGGTTGCTAGATGTTGTTAGCTACTGGAAAACAACAGGCAAACATACGCAAAGTTTCACATTGATGTTCGATATGATAGAGCCTATATACACAAGGCCTTGACCAAACCAAACCACATCCACTGTTACTGTTACTGGTCATAGGATAGACTTGGATCCCACGCTCTTATACAAATGTCCAACTCCTTTAGACATTTACAGTTCTGGGGGGGTCCCCTTTTTCTGGTACTTCGGGGGAGTCAAAAGGGCACGCCATATCAATATCTAGTTATAAACACGAAGCTCGCGCATGTCGGGAACTTCTGCGCTGAGTTTTCCAAACGCTGTCCCTCTGGCAGTGTATTTATAGGGCTGCCTGCATTCAGTCTCCCCTCTCCTGTCCTCTACCTGAACTCACACACCTGGTTAGCCATTTCAGTGTGGGTGCCCTTGTTTGTCGCATGCTTTTTCTCCTATCCTCTACCTGCATTCACACACCTGGTCAGCTCTCTACCTGGACTCACACACCTGGTCAGCTCGCCTCAGTGTGAGGTGCCCTTGTTTGTCGACTGCCACTCGGTCAATATAGCGTCGGTTTCAACTTCTGCTGGCAGTCATCAGACATAGATTTACACCCCATTAGGTGATGTGCGGAGCAACATGGATCTTTCGCACGCGTCGAATGATTGTCACATTTCTGGTATTTCGGGTGAATCAAAAGGACACTCCATGTCACATATCTATCATCAAAAAATTTGAGCACCTAGATGAGAAGAGGATTCGGTCAGAGCAGGGTCGCATGTATCAGCAGAAATGTTGGTTTGCTTTATGTTTTCGCATTCTAACATGTTTTTAATCATGTTCCACATGTTCAAACATATTTTCACATTTCAAATCATTTTCACTTCTGTTGCATTTGTTGAAAAATAGAATTATGTTGGTGGTTAACGCCTCAAGCACAACATTGTTAATCACATTGTGTTTCTTGGGGAGAAATTGTTCCAACAGCTGAACACAACTGACGATGATGTCATCCACCGCGTACAGGACGAACCTTGGACGACAGAAGTCACTAAGTTTTACATAATTCAAGTGACAAAGCCGGTGAAAGCACTTGGGCCAGAACCAAATGAAGCCCAACGCAACTCAGGGAAGCAGTAAGGCAATAACAGTAAAGTTGATTCACTTAGTCTGGTGTAGTCGTTGAGTTGTTCCTCATGGTGTCTAAAGGTCTGTCTGCTGTTTCCAAGGTTGTTTCAAATCTCCAAGCGCTCCACTGCAGCGCTGTGAGAAACAGCACTGGTGAACATCTGCTGACCGCCGCCATACATCTGCCGCAGCGTAGGACCACCAAACATCTGCGGCATCATTCATTGGCGGCGTCATCCCTCCAGGCAACATAGGCCCCCCCCGCAAGCCTTCTTCTGTGCCCGGTTCACTGCATTGACCACCGATATGGCAACAGCAGGGTAATCAGAAGCGACAAAAGACTTCGAGAAGACACTTGACTGCAGCACTCATATCACAGTCCAGTTTCCGTGTGAAACTATTTTTGCGAAAATTTGTAATATTTTCTCATGTTTCGGGAATTTTTGCGGTTTTTCGAAAATTTTCGATTTTTCAGCTTTTTGGACTTGGTGAAAACTTTTCCCTGTTAACTCCGAGGTTTTTTGAAAAGTTTCCAGATTTTTCAAGATTGTTAAAGGACGTTTGATAATTTTTTCGTTTTTTTTTGTGATTTTTCAGCTGATTGTAACTATGATTGTCTCTTTCCTCTTCTTACTATTGTCTTATGGTTGTTTTCTGTTCTATTGTTCCCTTTTCCTTTTTTCTATTCTTCTTTCGTCTTGGTGGTCAATGCAGTGAGCCGGGCACAGAAGAAGGCTCGTGGGCCGCCTATGTTGCCTGGAGGGATGATGCCACCAATGATGCCGCAAATGTTTGGTGGTCCTATGATGCCGCAGATGAATGGTGTAACAAAGTCATCTATACTATCAATTTCTGACTGAAGTGGTGCACCATTGTGGCAAACATTTAAGAGCATGGTTTAACTTTCTCAAACCTGTAAACAATAAGTTCACCAAGTGTTCAAAAAACTGTTCATCGTTGAGATTATGATTTCATCCGCGCAACTTTGTTTTAGTCATACGCTAAGCCACGTTGTGCTCAATGGGTTCTCACAAACTCTTACGCGTGAAAACTTTGGCCATGTCATTGTTTCATTTATGTTAACCTTTTCATTTTTTGCGCTTTTCTTATTTTTGTCGTATTTTTGCATGTTAAATCTCTTATCGAGACTTTTGATCTCTTTTGAGAGTCTTCCATTCCAAGACCTCTCCAGTGTAGTTCATCGATTTTTTTGACGAATCTAGTTGTAAACACGAAGCTCGCACACTCGGGAGCTTCCGTGCTGAGTTTTCCAAATGCTGTCCCGGTTGCAGCTTATAGGAGCTCCTGCCTGCATTCAGTCTCCCCTCTCCTGTCCTCTACCTACCTGGTTAGCCATTTCAGTGTGGGTGCGCTTCACACGCCTGGTCAGCTCTCTACCTGGACTGAGACAGCTGGTCAGCTCAAGTCAGTGTAGGGTGAGCTTGCTCGTTGCACTTGCAAATGTCGCTCACTCTCCCCTCTCCTGTCCTCTACCTGCACTCACACACCTGGTCAGCTCTCTATCTGGACTCACACCTCGTCAGCTTACCTCAGTGTGGGGCGTGGGGTGACCTTGCTTGTTGCGTTTGCAAGCGTTGTTCAATCTCACCTCTCCTGTCCTCTACCCAGACTCACACACCTGCTTGGGTGACAGTCTAAATAGTATCCTGAACACTTTGTGATGCTAATGATGCACTACCCAGCGTCATTTGCATCAGTCGCATCACTAAGACCAAAAAAACGTATTCACCCTACCCGGCACACCCTGCTCGCTTCGTTCGCCATCGAGGACTCAGCCACGCACACCGGCTGGCGTTTATAATGAATAAGAAAAATATAATATTATATACATATATATATAGAGAAATAGATTATATAATATATAAACAATCATTATACACACATCAAACTCTTCAAGTGAAGCAAGCGCCAACCTCCTCCTCTGCCGTCGATCCCATCATCCCAAACTTCCGAGCCTTACATCACGTGAAGAAACCCTCGCATTCTACATTCCTGCTATTCAAACATAGCTGTAATCAAAGAGTTCATTCTGGGCGACTGGCTGTCGCATGTCAATTTTAGGGTTCAGCAGTGCAAAGCCCTCATGTCACTTGTGCTCCTTCGGCTGAGCAACTAGATAGCGTTCGATTGCCTTGCTTTGAGGCAAGGAAAAGCCGTCGGTGTCCAGAACAGGGACCTCGCTTCGCGGGAGAAAGACATATTGGTGCAAGCAGCACCCATGCACAACCCGCAGGGATCAGATGTTTCTGTGAATGGAAAAACGCACGACCCAAAGCATACCTTTTCATGAAGGTCATGAACACCTGAGAAAGGTGAACCGGTCAATACGACCTGCGTTTGGCTCAAGGAACAACGTGAGCGGCTGTTTTTTGTCGGTCGCTCTTGAGGCTTTTTCCATAACCACAGGTCATGAGCCCAAGGAGCTTTTGAAGTCCACCCTCATTTGAGGTCGCTGGTCCCCATGAGCGGCTTGATGGCGCGGCGGCGGCGCTCCTCCCGTGAAGGAGGCAGGCTGAGGGATCCAGGAGATCAAGGAGGGCAACTACGTGTGGGAGCGGCTGATGAGAGGCTAGACACCCTCCTCGAGGAGGCAAGGGCAACCTCAATGCCACCTGCTGTGAAGAGAGTTGGAGGGGCTCCAGCGGCTGGTGAGGCGAGAAGATCCTCGACGGCGGCAAGCGGAGCTGATGGAAGACAACAAGGCCCAGCATCTGAACGGCATGACCGAGGAGCTGGCTGGCAGGAGACGGTGAGGCAATCCCTTGAAGTGTTGCAAAGGGCCTTTGGACCAACTTCCCAAGGACCGATGCCGGTGGGACCTCCGCCTCCTGAAGGACTTCTTGGACCTCTATTTCATGGCCGCGATCCAGGACACCCTCGCGCTGATGATCCGGGACAACCTGGAGGGCAAGGGGCTTGGCAGCGGGAGGCAGCGTCATCGCCTCAGTTTCCAATTCCGCCGAGAGCGGACAGGAGCAGCATGAATGGTGAAGGTGGTCCACAACCTAGAGTACTATGTCCACACCCCATCAACATGGGCGGCAGCAGACCAATCCTTTTTGGAGTGACCGTGGACGTGCACCTGATGTGGCATCCCGTTCTGAACGTCCTCGACCCCCTAGTGAAGAGGTGAAGAGAAG